AATAAAAAAATTTCACCTTAAATATTACACAAGAATTTGCCAGTTTTGAAATTTTAGATGTGTTTAGGACAAAGAAGTAGAGCCCATCTTTTCTCTAAAAATAAAATCCCAAAATTGGTAATGTCCCGTGGGTTTAGTTTTTTGAAATGATTTTCGTGATCATATAGGTACAAATACCTGTAGGGAAGCTGGAAACTAAAGAAAATACGAAGGAAGACTCACAGAAGTGGATGGCCAGAGCACCACCGTTAATACAGGGGGTGCATTTCCTTCCAGGCCATTTCCATGCATATTTTTCCAAAGTGAAATAATTTATTTGGGGCCTTCTTTCAAAACCATTTCTCCCATGCAATTAAAACCTCTTCACAAACATATTTCTTAAACGGTTTTATAGTAATTCACCATGTAATGTAAAATAGCATACATTTTAGCCATTTCTCTGATGCTGAGCAATTAACTTTAGTCAGTTTTTATCTGTATTAATACCTCTGTAATGAATAGTTTTATGCACAAATCTTGTCCGTATTCCTGACCATTTCCTTAGGGTAGAAACATAGAAATGGAATTTCTTATCAGTTCTTTTGTCTCCATCCAAGGAACTGTCTCCTCCCTATCACAGACAGTTTCTTTGAAAAGTTGTTGATACGCAATGGCTCCATTTCCAACCTAAAACCTGGCCTGAACACCTTCAGTGGCTTTAGTTTTATTATGGGATAGACTCTAAAATCCTGGCTGTGACCTTCACCCAACATTGACCAGCCTGTCTGCCTCTGCAGCCTCTTCCCCCATTTTCTCTAGCCTCAGCTTCACTGTTTTGTTTTATTTTTAACTTATGGACTCCTCTCCCTTTCCTCAGCCACAGGGCCTTCAAACCTGCCTCTTATCTCTCTGACACAGTCTTCGTCCCCAGCCATCTGTCCTTGGTGGAGCAGGAGGTGAGGTACCAGCTTCGAGGAGGTGGCTGCAGGTTTGAAGAGAAGTGAAAGGGTCAGAAGTTCATTTAGGGCAGAGATAAAGGGAAGGATTGAACTGATAAGTGCCCTATGGTTTTCCTGAAAGCGATGAGGACACTTTCACTGTGTGCTTGGAGTTGGGAATATGAGGTTTACATCAACGGAAATGGACTTGGCCTCCAGGGCTCTGGTCCCCTTAGTTTCTGGAGCAAAGGGCTTGCTAAAACCCTGTGAGTTCAGTCTGGTGAGCTCAGCAGCTGCTTCGCCGCAGTATTTCTTTTCCTCCGGCTTCTGGAAGTGTGCTGCTTCCTCCTTGCCAGCTCATTTTATACAGATGACAGCACATGTTGTCATTAGGCTAAGTGGGGGACTTCACAAATACGTACTCGTGGGACCGTGGGAAGCCTCAGTGTGAAAATCTTCATTTCTCAGTTTATTGGGAAGTTATAATGCAGAGACTTCCTACTACCCACGTGTGACTATTTAAATTTAAATTAATTAAAGTTTGTGACAAAATTAAAAGTTCATTTTTTTAATCACACTAACTACGCTTCAGTAGCCACATGAGTCTAGTGGGCACCGTGTTGGATGGTAGAGACTGAACGTCCCTATCGTGGTAGGGAGTTCTTTTGCCCAGCCCTGGTCTAGAGAGTAGGAAAGGATCCGGCGAAGCCTTCGCCGCAGCCTCAGTGTGGAGTGGTGATCCAGGAAAGATAAACAAACGGACAGTTAGCTTTGGCTACTTGGCTGCTGGCTCTGACCCACAGCTTGCTAGTTCATCTCACATTAAAAAACAAAACAAGAGCAACAACATTAAAATTCAGCTTCCTTTCTGGCATTCCCAATGATTCACAAAAGTTCGTGGAAAATGAGGCTCCCTGACCCACATACCCCGGGCTTCTGCTGCCTACGACCTCGCCATGGTGGAGTGACCCAGGTGACTTGGTCACGCTGACCTCACAGACGTCCTGGCTGAAGAGGTGGTGCTTGTTGAAATCCCTGTGGCTTTTACTGATTTCCTATAGATACATCTCATAACGTCGAGACCAGTAGATTCCTCCTATTTTTGAGGATCAAATAAAGCAAGTTTTTCTCATAGATGAGGCCTACTTTTGAGGTGTAGATGAGTAGTACCTTTGAAACTAGTACCAGTAGCAGGGGAGGAAGGGAAGCGGTATTACACACGAGAGGCAGAGAGACCCTGGTGAATGTGCCCTTTCTCCATCCTATCCTCTTCTGGGTCTGTTTCACTCCATCTGGCTCAGCCAGCCAGTCGTGCCTCCCACCCCAGATTCTAGGAACTCTGTCAGGGCATTTTATCTCATCGTCATCCTGGGTCTTCCTTACACATACGGAGCCTTTGTTTCTTTCCCTCTACCCCTGCAGTCTGAAGATAATGCAGTTTTTGTGAAAAATGGGAGACCTTCAGGGGAGAAAGAACTGGAGCCTCTTTATCTTCCTGCCTTTTCTTTCTCACAAAGGGGAGCGGGTCCATTTCTCTGAGCCCCGAGGGAACTGTTTGCAGAGTCACCGTGAGCAGTGCAGGGAAGAACTCTCACAGCCCTGGGCGTGCAAGTGCAGGCACCTTGAGGTAACCTGGATGCAGACAGACCAACGAGGTCCCTCCCAAAGGTGTTTCTAAACACAGACTGTTGCTGACTCTGCAGTTCGACAAGCTCCAGTTATGGGTGAGGCGAGCTGGTTTTGATCGGCTTGCTGAACAGAAATGTTGAGACGCTGCTCTATTTGAACAATCAACCCCCAAATAAAGCATAGTCCTGTAGCCTTGACGGTTTGCAAAACATGTTCTCTAGCATCACGCCTTTCGATACTCATGGTGAACCTGTGGGCTGGGGCAGAACCTCTGCAGAAGAGAAAACCTAGGCTCAGAGCGGTCAAGTGACTTGCTCAGGGCCACATAGTTGTATTTAGGGAGTGGGGCTGAGTTTCGAATCCCAGTTGCTTTTCTGAGAACATTGCTTTACTTTCTCACTTACATTTTGGATTTGTAAAATGAAATACATTTAAGTTGGGTAACTAATGCCACAAATATTATAGTTGGCTCAGTAGAGAATGTTTGCTGAGTGCCTATAACACAGGGGGTAGGGGAGGGAGCGACCGGAGTTGGGTGGCTGGGCTTCTGCCCTTTGGGAGCTTTGTGTGGAGAGGCAGCAGTACATTTACGAGCAACAAATGCACGTTATCCTGGAAGGAACTGGATCCAGCAGTGCTTATGGATGCTGAGAAAATGACCAAGGTTTTTGTGGACGGTGTTTTGAAAGAAAGGGATTTTGAATCAGATTTTTTCAGACATTCACAACAACTAAGAGAAGGGCATTCATTCTAGCAGGTGCAGAGGCGTGGTGGTGAGCGAGAGCCGTAGAGAGTTAGCTGCAGTTTGTCAGCCTGTTGACAAAGGAGAACTGAACACTTGTTCATTATTTATTGAAAATCTCCCCTGCAGAAGACATTGTGTAGAGCTGGGTTTACAGTGGTGTGTGCGAAGGAGACATGGTCTTTGCCTTCCTACTGCTTAGACTTGGGGGTGGGCTGGGGTGGGGACAGGGGGGAGGCTAAATATTGATTGTTGGTCATAAAATAGTTAATATTTCAGATTTGATTGTTTGTATCACCTGGCATCATAGATTAGCATGGCATTTGAGCTGATATGTGAAGGAGCAGTAATTAATGAGGCAGATGGCTTTGGTACAGGGAGCAGGGACAGGAGAGTTCCAGAAAGAGGGCGCAGCCTGTGCAAAGGCCCCAGGCATGCTGGAGGACCAGGAGGAAGGCCGGTGTACCAGAGATGACAGAATGGAGGGGCGCGTGGCTGGAAATGAGGCTGGGGAGAGGGCCTGAGCTTGATCAGATGTTGGTCTTTCTTCAAAGACCTGTGGGAAACCTGTAAAAAATTTTAAGCAGAAATGCCATGAAAAAAAATCTTCCTATTAAAAAGATCACTTTGGCCACAGTGTGGAGAATGTTCTGGAGGGGCAATAATAGCTGTTACGAAGCCACCCATGGGAGGCTACTGCAGTGATCTGGGCTAGAGGTGAGGGTGCTTGGTCCGGGGTGCAGGGTGTAGGGTGCAGGGTGAGGGTTGTGGAGATGGAGAGAAGTGGACATTTTCCATGGAGATTTAGGAGAATTTAGGAGATTGGACCTACTTGGTGGCATGTTAGCTAATAGAGAATCATATGGTAAGATGGTTCCTGAGTTCCCGATGTTCTCATGGGCTGGGTGTGGAGCTGGTCATGTGATGGGAACCTCGGAAATGGGACCAGCCTGGGGAAGATGACGAAATCTGGGTATCCCGTAGGCAGTTGGCTTGGGAGCGCAAGGAGATAACTGAGCTGCAGTTAGATGCGTGGGCCACTGGCATGTGAGTGACAAGGGTGGCTCTGAGCGGGGAGGAGTTTCCCCAGAGAGAAGAGGGCATTAAAGGAGGAAAGAAGCAGTGAGGATGCTCAAGGAGCAGGTAGAAGAGAACCAGCCAGCTGGAGAGCTGGGAGGGAAACCAGGACGTGCCTGAGTGTTGTGCCATTGAGACGGAGTAAAAATATACAAAAAGGGGAGTCTCTTTCAACCTAAGTATAGACCCATTTCCACCATCACTCCAAAACCTATTACGTGACAGCCATGCACCCCTAGATCTGAGGCACCTCTGTGGGGCGCTGTCACAAGGCATGTGGATTTATTTCTTTGTTGCTGTGACAGACTGCAGCGAGAGTGTGCTCTCTGCCTGGAACAATAACCTACTTTCCTTTCCCCGACGTCACTGCACTTTTGGCCGGAGCTGCCGTCTGTTGCCTCTGGAGCTCGTTTAATCCCGCGGAATGCTGAACATTATCTGGTCTTGGTGGCTTTGTAATTCTACTCCAGGCTCCCCACGTTCATCGGCCAGCTGGGCTCTCCTAATGAGCTGGCTGCACGCAGTCCAACGCTGAGACCACTTCCCCCGGTGAAATGCGCTCTGAGAGCTCACCGTGGGCGCGTTCCCCGTGAGGCCTGCTTCCACGCTGTCTCTGACGTCCACTCTCTTTTCAGCATGGCTGCAGCCCCTCCAAGCTGCTGCTTGGTGGCCTTCCCGCCGCGTGCGAAGGACGGTCTGGTGGTATTTGGGAAAAATTCAGCTCGGCCCCGGGATGAAGTGCAAGAAGTCGTGTATGTCCCGGCTGCCGATCATGAACCGGGGAGCAAGGTGGAGGTGAGTGACGCGTTGCGGTCTCTCGGTGAGCACGCATTCCCTTTCTCTTGCCTGGCCCCGCACCCCCGCACTTCTCTCCTGGAAGCCGCTCACTGGCCCGAGCTGTCACACCGGCTCTGTGGATTCCCCTTGCCGTTAGGATGGCTTACAGCCTTCACAGCAGGGTCATGCGGGGAAGTCTGTGTTTGCTGCCATGGCCCTTGTTTTGTAATTGAGTGAAATATTTACATGGTTCCGGAGTCAAGTCTGCAAAACAAGGTACGGGCACACTTTGGAGATACTGCAGGTTTAGGTCCAGACCAGCGCAATCAGGCCAACGTCTTTTGCTGGTGGAGTATATGACCTTCATTTTGTAAGAAGGCAACATCTGTTGAGTGCTAGGTTGATTAGGGGGGGTGAGCTCTTTGGAAGTTATGTAAATGTGTAATCACTATGTTGTACACCTGAAACTAAATACTATTGCGTGTCAACCGCCACTGAAAACAAAAACAAGAAACAGCGACAGGTGTGCAGCGCAGGAGAGCAGAGCACAATGAAACGAGGGGTGCCTGCGTGTTCCTAGGAGTCTAGCTCCTGTTTTCCTCCTTTGCCCCATTTCCTTTTTCTCCCACTGGCAACCACGCTTGGAAAGTTTTCTGGTTGCTTCTTTCGTTAAGAAGTGACCTGTGTCGGGAATGAACCTCACACACATGCTGTGCGTGTCCACCCAGGCCCTCGCCTCCTTCCTCGGATGAATGGTAGCTAGTCTCGTGCATGCACTTCCCTCCACTTCGCTTTCCTCAACTAAAGCCGGATCTTGGAGATCACGCCACGTGGTACACAGAGATGTGCTCATTCCTCAGTGAGAGCTGCACGGCATTCCGTTCTGTGGTTGTGTCCTAGTTTAACCCGTCCCATGTTGCTGGAGCGTGGGGCATTTTCCAGCGTTTTGCTGGAAACAGTGCTAAACTTTATCTGTCACAGCATCTGGTTTTGGTTTACATATTTTTATTGTTAAAAATTATCCATCAATTTTTACTTTGAGTTTTTGTTAGTATTTCTTTGGGATTGCTGGTGTGACTGCTGGTCACAGGGTAAATAGGTGTGTGCTTTTGCTAGATATTATCAAACTCCCTTCTGGAGGTGGTCTACCAACCCTCGCCTCTCCGTATTCTCCGAGTGTGTTGTCAAGCTTTTATGGTGATTATTTTGTCAATTTTACATTTTGCTCTTTTACTAAAATTCTTTCATTGGTTATGTCAGCTCTTGTTATCAATTCTTTTGGGTTTTCCAGGTATATTGTTATCACACCTGCGAATGGAGATAGTTTGATTGCTCTTTGTTGAATTTCCCATTCTTGTCTGATTGGCCATTAGCTTGGGTTCAATGTTAATAGTGGTAGAGACCGTGGGCTTCTTTGCCTCTGTGCCTGACCTGAGCAGGGCGGCCTCCAGTGCTTCCCTGTTGAGTAAGGCTCTGGCTTTGGGACCGAGAATTACATAGTCCTACCGAGTTAAAAAGTAGATATCAATTCCAATTTAAAAAAAAAGTAGGAATAGGTGTTAACTTTTGATAAAGGTCTTTTCAGTCACTTAGTGGCCGTCTTGGATTTAGATGGTCACGGTGTCCCAGTGCTTGTATTCAAGTCACTTAATAGTGGCCCCAAAGCATAAGCAAGCATAGTGATGCTAGCAATTTGGAAGTGCCAAAAGAGGGAAGCTGCAAAGTGCTTCCTTGAAGTGAAAAGGTGAAAAAGGTCTCGATGTAATAAGGCATTTGATCATGTCACATCATCACAAGAAGAAGGGTGAGTGTGGTACGATAAGATATTTTGAGAGAGAGGCCACATTCCCAAAGTTTTATTACAGTATATTGATTTTTTTTTCAAATAAATTTTTATTGTATTTTTCCCATTACCACTTAGTCCCTTTAAACTCCCCTCCCCTCACAATCATCACATTGTTGTCCATGTCCATGAGTCCTTTTTCCTTTTTGCTCAGTCCCTCCATCCCCTGCCCCCTGCCTGAGCTGTCAGCCTGCTTTCCATCTGTGAGTCTGTTCCTATTTTGCATGTTAGTTCAGTTTCTTCATTAGATTCCACATATGAGTGAAATCATACGGTCCTTGGCTTTTTCTGAGTGTCTATTTCACTTAGCATAATATTTTCCAGGTCCATCCATGCTGTTGCAAAAGGGTAAATCTTTCTTCTTTTTTTATGGCGGAGTAGTATTCCATTGTGTAAATGTCCCATAGTTGTTTCATCCACTCATCTACTGACGGACACTTGAGTTGCTTCCATATCTTGGCAATTGTAAATAACACTGCAGTGGACATGGGGGTGCTTATGTTCCTTTGAATGAGTGTTTTGTTTTAATTGTTCTAGTTTACCATTAGTTATTATTAATCTTTTACTGTGCCATTTTGTAAGTAAAACTTGTTCTAGGTATGATGGTATAGAAAAAAGTATAGTGTATGCAGGGTTTGGTGCTGTCAGGCACCCACTGGGGGCCTTGGAAGGTGTCCCCTGCAGAATAGGGATGACTATTATATAAATATGTCTGAAATAAATATTTTACAAAAATCTGTTTTCCTAGCCCTGGCTGGCATAGCTCAGTGGATTGAGCACGGGCTGTGAATCAAAGCATCGCAGGTTCAAATCCCAGTCAGGGCACATGCCTGGTTTGCAGGCCACAGCCCCCAGCAACCGCACATTGATGTTTCTCTCTCTCTCTCTCTTTCTCCCTCCCTTCTCTCTCTAAAAATAAATAAATAAAATCTTTAAAAAATTTTTAAAAATAAAAATAAAATATGACAAATGTGAAAAAAAATCTGTTTTCCTTTTTGGGGGACAGGCTAATTAATAAATATTCTAGTCTCTTGGTTACTTTCATTTTAGGGAATGGATTCTTTGCACTAGCTAGCCCCTGGCATATTATTACTCGAATACACCGTAGGTTCAGTCGTGTCTCTCGCACGAATAAGTGGAGCCTGATACACCCCAGAACTGGTGTCTCAGGCAGCTCTGCCCTCTTTGTGGGCTGCGTACCTGTGTCTTGAGCTGCCTCCGTGCATTTCCACGCTCACATTCTGCGGCTGAAATAACCTCGCCTGTCTGTCCGAAACCAAGTTCAGTTCCCCGTCCCATTTGCTCTGCCTCCTCTGGGTGTTCCATTGTTTGCCACGCAGTTTTATCTGGAAACAGGAGGGAAACGCTCCCGCCTGTCCCCGCATGCACAGGGACAGCTGTCGCTGAGTCCTGCTGCTTCCTCTCCTGGGTCCCCATCGCCCCCACTGCCCCCATCTCGTTCAGACCCACCCCCTCCCCCTCCCATAATCTGCTTGTGGGTGCCCCAGCCTCTTTGTCCTGGAGTCTCACCCCTTTTGGGGTCACCAGATTTTTTTCCCCCGGAACACAGCTCTGTCACTGCCTTGTTTAGAACTGCTGGGCTGTGTTTACGGGGTGAGGGTCCAGGCTGCTTTGTACACCATCCAGGATGCTCCCAACTGGCACCCCACTCCCTTTTCCTTTCTTTTCTCTCTTCCAAATTCAGAGACTTATTTTTTTAGAGCAGTTTTAGGTCTACAGAAAAATGAGCAGAAAGTACAGAGAGTTCCTATATATAACCCCTCACCACCTCCACCCCCGCCCCCCGGTTTCCCTGATTACGAACATCGTGTCTTCGTGCGGAACACGTTTTGTCATGGATGAGCCAGCGTTGACACCTGCCCCAGTTTACTTAAAGGTTCACCCTGGGTGTTGTGCCTCCTCGGGGTTTGGACAAATGTATCATGACATGTAGCTGCCATTCCAGTGTCCTCCAGAGTATTTTCACTGCCCTGGAAACACCTTGTGTCCCACTCTTCATCCCTTCCTTCCCAGCCCCGGGCAACCGCTCCTGTGCTCCCCATCTCCATGGTTGTGTCCTTCCCAGAGTGCCAGAGAGCCAGAATCACCCAGTGTGTGGTCTTTTCAGATGGTCATCTTTCACGGGTCTTGGTAATGCATTTCTTCCAGCACTGAACTATAGTCCGTGTCTGGGTGTCCCACAGTTTTTCTTCATTGGTTGAAGGGCCTCTTCGTTGCATCCGCGTTTTGCCAGCAATGAATAAAGTTGCTATGAGCATTTTTGTAGGGTTTTTTTGTGGACATACATTTTTAACTCATTTGGGTAAAGATACCATGTAATGTAATTTTACATTTTTTTAAAGATTTTATTTACTTTCAGAGAGAGGGGAAGGGAGGGAGAAGGAAGGAGAAAAACATTGATAGGAGAGAGAAACATCACTTGGCTACCTCTTGCACACTTCCAACTAGGGACCCGGCATGCAATGCAGGCATGCACCCTGCAGCAACCCTTTGGTTCACAGGCTGGGCTCAGTCCACTGAGCCACACCAGCCAGGGCTAATTTTACATCTGACTAGGTAATCCAGTGATCACCTATTCAAATTAAGTGATTAAGTGATACAAAAAAAGTTCACAGTGAGAAGTCTTACTCCCCGTTCTTCCGATCCCCTCGGGTTCCCCTGTTATGTAAGCCTTTCTGCCAATTGCTTACATCCCCTCCCAGTGCTTCATGCACGTGGCATGAATGTGAACACTTATCCTTTGTTTTTTTCGTGAAAGTAGCACATCATATACACTATTCTGAAACTTGATTTTTTAACTATGTCATTTTAAGCTTATAGAAAAGGGCTACAATTTGCTTTTTTTTTCATGCAGTAACATTCTGAAGAGATTTTTAATATCTGTGCATAAAAGTTACATGTGTTTTTACAGCTGATAGTAGTCCATTGTGGAGATATTCCACACTTGATTCAATCAGTCCTCCGTTGGTGGATGGTTGGACCCTTGGCTAGTCTAGCAGGTATCGCCGCAAAGAGCATTGCATGCGGGTCACTCTGTACATGTGCGGATACAGCCACGGGCACACTTCTGTACAGGGGTCACTGGGCCACGGGGTAAAGTTTTTGTAGTACCTGACGTCCATAAGCAATTTCTACTTCTGTCGGCATTCTTAGT